TAAAAACGAAAAAATTGGAATATTTTTATATATTATATAAACAAGCAAAATTAAAGAAATAATATCGACAAATCGTAGGGGGAAAAGGAAGGAAAATTTATTCTATAAATATATTAAATTAATTTAAATTATAATTATATTATTTTGATATATGTAGATAATATAAAAATATAATATATAATACGACATTATGTTTCTTTATTTGGATATGTTTTATTTATTTATTCTAAATATTGATATTTATATTATTTATTAAATATTGACGAAAATTATTTTTTATATTTATTATATTTTTTTTCCGAATTATATAAATTAAATTTATAATTTATTTAATTATATTTATTTATATTAGATTTTACTAAATATATTATAATTATATTAATTACTATTATTTTAATTATAATAATAATTATTGTAAAACTATATTATATTATACTATATTATAATATTTTATATTATTTATATTATATTATAACTATAGAAATTATTAATACTACATTATACGACACTATATTATACTAATTACACTATATTATAAGTATAACTATAATATATTATACTATATCTAGCAATTATGGCGCGATAATTACTACTGTAATTATTATAATTATTTTAATTAAGATAATTCTAATTACCTTTTGATTTATTAATGGATTCACCTTACCATTTTAAATTTAGAACAACGATCCTCTCCTATAATTTCCTAATTTGAAATTTCTACTACCGCCTTATGCGATATTATTAATAACGGTAATTTAATAATATAATTTTATTAAAAAATAAATTCCCAATAAGGGATATATTTATTTAATTCTAATTTTAAAAAATACATATATATATATAATTTTTAATATTAAATTATTAAATTCTTCTGAAATTTTGGAAATCTAATGTAATTTTTTATTCTAAAGTATTTGTGTTTATCTGATATTATGGCCTAAGCAAATACGGATAAGGGTGGGATTTTTTTTTAATTTTTCCAAAATGAATAATTCTACAAGTATTGGGAATTATTAATCCTAATTAATTATTATATTTAAAATTCGGAATTAAGAAAATAATAAATTTCTTTACCTAGGAAAAAATTATAAAAATTCTTTTAAAAAAATTAAATATATAATTAAATATAATTATAATTATGAAGATAGTAATTTTTTCTTAATTTATTCTTGATATTTTGATTCGTATATATATTCTTTAATATTGATTTATATTAAGGAAGGGGGTGTTGTGAGCGCCGAAATGTTTGCATATTTGATATTTTATTTCTGTAAAAGATACCAAACCCTGTTCTTTCCAGAAACCAAACATTATTGCTTCTGTAACAAAAGCAACCACTGTGCATTCTCAACAGCTCTCCCAATGTCCTATATAGATACATAGTTTCAGCCAAAGCAAACATAAATAATAGATAAAAACAATAAAACAAATAAGTGTAAGTGCCTTTCCAAAGAGTGCAGTATTATTTTAAAGATGTATAGACTCTACATCTCTATAGGAATTGCCCTCAACATATGCAATAGTTCTTTTGGACATGTGTATTCTAGACAGGGACCAATTTATGCAATATGTTTTCTATAAACAATAAAGGAAAAATGAATTTGTAAATTACATTTGTTAAATAATTTTGCATAAAGAATGTTATTCCTCAATGTAACAGTCCCTTTGCAAAAAGTATGGCATTATTTGAAAGATAATGATAAGTAGCATTTAAAAAATGTGCATTTTAAGCAGGCATCAATTTATACAATATGTTCTTTATAAATAATGAAGGAAAATAAACATATAAATATTATTTCTTTCTAAAAAAATTCTACATAAAAAATATCATTCCTCCATGTATATAATTACCTTTTGCAAATATTGTTGCATTCTTTGAAAGATGTGTAGCATTATTTCCCAATTTCAAGGAGAACCCTCCTATGTATGTATTGAACGATTTCAGAAATCATAGCATTCCTGTAGGAAAATGTAATATGTTTTTTTGAAAAATTGAATTTATTTTTGAATTATTACAGCATGGTTTTGAAAAGAGCGCCATCTTATTAATATATTGAAATATATATTTTACCTTTGAAAATACAGATTCTTGTTTGCAAAATAAACAACATGATTGTAAGGATGTGTAGCAAGAGCCTACTCTAGATTCCATTGATGATGTAAAAGCATGTTTTGGAAATGTGTTTTTTTGTTGTAAAATAAGTATTGCACCACCTTCTGCAGTATATCCTTTCAAAGAGTACAATTGTTCTATGGAAATATTGTTTTGTTTTGAAAAAAGTGCTATGTAATTCGATTTTCAAAAGGTCTTCAAAATGAGCAATATTTTTTCTTTGTGAATAACATAGAATATGGTTTCAAACAATGTACAACAAATTATAATTATAAATTATAAATCTTAATATAAATTTATTTAAATATAATTATGGCAATGTAAGCAAGTGTTACATGCCTATAAAAAGAGTGCAGTAGCACAACTACCTACAATATCTTTTTCAAACTAGTGTAGCATGTGTTCGAAAAAAAAAATCAAATTATTGCAAATTGTGCAAAATTTATGTCAATCAAGGAAAGTTTTCCTTTGAAGATACACATATGTATGTGTATATATATATATGTGTGTCTATATATATATATGTAGTTTTAAAAGTGAATGGTTTCTTGGCAAATCTGTTTAGTATCCCTCCAAGAAAATGTAACATGAATTTACAGCAAATTCCATAGATGATGTAATAATGTTTGTTTTTCAAAGAAATATAACATGAAATTAAGGTTATTATCTAGGACATGGCCGAACATTTCAAAATCGGAACACACAGTCTACAAAAAGGTGCAGATGGCTGAAAATTACCAAAAAAAACTTGGAAAAAACAAAAAACAAAAAAACAGTTTCAGAGAGTCTTGGCTGGGACCCCCCCCTTCCAAAGAGTCTAGAAATATTGTGTTTTTTGTTTTTCCAAGGTTTTTACCAAGTGTGGGGTATTTCAAGGAAATTGGCATGAATCACAGGAAAAGTTGTCAAAGTACCTTGGGGAATGCAGTAAAACATCTCAAAGTATTATCTTAAATCATGGGAAAATTGCATTCCCAGGGGCTGCCGTTCTGCATAAGAAAGCCAAGAAGCATCATGAGTGGATAAACGACTGCCAAACACACGCGAATGAGAGCAA